ATATCGTATATTTATTTTTTTTACTTTTTTTTTACGCGTGTGACGATTTTCTACGCGCACCCGCTGGGAATTCGAATGTCCCCGACGATAGCAATAAGTGATAATATTATATTGTTGCCTAATATAGGTACCTAACTACCGATATGACTGTATTGGGCTTTTCGCCACAAACTTTACGACGACAGATTTACTGTGCGATCGATTAATAACGAAAATGTTTTAACGTACAGACGATAATGACGTAACGGTGTGCGTATTATATCGCGTGCTGTGTATCTTATGATATTATTAATATATTATTATCATTATTATCGTCGTGTACTGTATATAATATATATATATATATATATATATATATATATATATATATAATACAGTGTGCGTATAATTACGGTGTGTACCTATACGTCGTGCAGTGGTTCGACAAACCTATCTCGGTAGAACGGGAGCTGCTGGTTTTTTTTTATTATTATTATTATTTTTTTTTTTAAGAGCACGCTGGACACAAGGACCTCTAATGAGGTATTTGTCGGCGGCGGACACTATATCGGCAGGGTTTAGCGAGTCTGTGCACATTGTTGCCGTTGCACTTCGTGCCGCAATAAATCATTATCGACTTTCTACACATACGCACACACATACACATGCATGCGTAGTATACACACTAGGCCGTTAGCGCGCACCTAGCGGACCTGAAAAAAATTGTTTAAATTAAATACTCGGCTCGTGTTCGGGTTGTCAGCTGTGCAGTATCAGTTTGTCTTGGACGTTTCGTTTCGATGTATACCTATGTACAGTGCACAAGTCATTGCACACAATTGTTTGAAAACCTCCACAGGACATATAATGTGAAATCGTAAACAGAATCTAAGCTCATTATAAATTATTTACTGACAAATTAATTGCATTTGTTTTTGATTTTAATTATTATTACGTCACTGGAGGCACCTGTTGTTGAACTCAAATAATTAGAACATGTTGTCCTTTGCAGTAGTATCATTTTAGTAATTTAATAGAAGTGTAAAAATTTAAGTAGTCCAATTTTTTTTAGATATCTTAGTATGTTTTGTTCAGAAGCGCATACATGATGAAAAGCTGTACAACTAATATTTCAATGAATTAAAATTTAATTAATTATTAACTTATCCATCTTTTGCCTTTTTGATATTGGAGTAAACACACACATAAATGTATATAAATGTGTGTCAGTGTGTGTATCATAAATTATTTAAATTTAACTAATGCAATATAATATAAAAGGTCTACAAATTATAAGACGTAAACACGTGTAAACGTCTGTCTTTAATTAAGCACAATCAATATTGATATACGAGTATATTTTATTTTATTAATGTATTTACATTTTAAGCGTTTTGAAGAATGTAATTTTTGGTAAAAACATATTCTCTACTTGTAGGTAATCATTAGAGTACGGATGTTGTAGTACTAAAAAACTAGTAAAATTGATTGTCAGTATTACTAATCATATTGTTCACAACGACATAGTATTACAACACACTTAAGGTACATAATTTTATCAAAATAACAAAGGCACAATAACACGTGCCACGGGTGTGTGGAATCTTTTAAAACCGAATGATGATGATAATAGATATATAGAATAATCTGTTACTCAGTTCGAATCTGTTCACCCACATAATATAAGTGTAATATATTATACGACAATGCACTGCGACGCGCGTCTCTCCCTGTAATAATAATAATAATATAATACGACGTACCTATATCGTATGCCCATCCTCTGTCGCTACAGTGGTGTATATGCACCTACTTACCTACCGCTGTGTAATATGAAAAGAGATTTCAGAGGTGTGATTGTTTACGCAGCGCTCGAGATTTACCTATTCGGGAGAGATTGCAGTCCGGACTAGCGTTCTTTGTGTATCTAAAAGACCCAATCGAATTGTCGTATATACGCACGTTCTCGCGCCATTCTGCCGTATTGCCATCATAATACGTATCTATCTAATAGTTTATTATACAGTCCAACGATCTACATACAAAGGTATACCATAAATTACGTCATACAGAACGATTATTGCCAAAGATGGTCTTCATTTTTTTTTTTTTTTATCCTTTTTTCTCCTACATTATTGCAGTTGTTCAAATTCTAATTTTTCGAACTGTTTAAAGTGCATATATTTACTCGAAGATCGTATTTTCGGGCACCACGATTATTTTACATCATTCACGAAGAGTACTTTGGCAATAAAAAATTGTTTTTCTTGCAAGAACCGCCGTTAATCAACATTTTTAAATTATGGCAGAAGAAATCAATTTTTTGATAATGTCAATACATTTATGAATTGAAATACGAACACGAAGTTTCTGAGTTTCTGAACTTTTTCTACTAAGGATAATAGTTCTTAATTATAAATTCGATTCATATTAAACATAAAATATTATGCCTGGTATTGAGTCTAGTTAGAACTAGACTATGACGATTTTTAATTACTATTATAAAATGTAATTTTGTTATATAAATGTTAATAACTATGATATTCATATAAATATAACCTATTATCTTTAGTACAATCAATTTAATAATCTATAGAAATTAAACGTTCAAATTTCAATTTATATACGTCAATGTTGAAAAACAAATTTGAAGAAGAGCAAAAGGCATTTTTTAAACGGTGTAAATAATTAAGTGTTTGAAAATATGGTCTTCAAATGTATGCATATAAATTCCAAAATTTAGAATTCGAACAAATAAATTATTAAAAGGAATAATTGGGTTAAACACATTTTGTGAATCACTCTGTATGTGTATTATATATATTACTATATTGAGCGTATCATACTGTACATAGATGTTATATAATAATTGTTATATTATACTATAGGGAACGTTTCATGATTTGGTTACTCAAAAAACGATTTTTTTCTCCTACAAGTGTCATCATGTACATTCATAGTAGTTACAAGTAAAATTAATAATAATAATAATATAATAGCAGTGTAAAATGTAAAAGAAGATCCTGTGTATTTGTTGTGGTGCGTTTTACGACGGTCGACCGTGTGAAAGTTAATAATATAAAATGTTGAATATATATGCGTCACACACGGATCATTAGTAAACAGAAAACCTTTTTTTTCGCACCTATTAGCTCGATAAAAGTCACTAATTGGCAAGCGACCAATCGCGATCACGTTGGTATTTTAAAAACATTGGGCTTATTATTAGGAATTCATTCATTTATTTATTTTTTTAAAGTAATACCTATAAATTAAAAATGTAATATAGACAAAAATCACAATTATAATAATGCATGCAAACTATTTAATTATTACTGGTATCGTATAGTATCTTTAATAGAAAATTTTAACAAGAATTTTATGTAATAAATGACATATTTGGAGACGAAATAAGTAGCCATAGAATTATAAGTAAAAAGATTTTAAAACAATCAGTTGATTTCATTATTAAATAAAAATGTATTCAAATTTCACTTGAAAACTTAAAAATTGCATAAAAAGCATTTTTAAAAATAAAAAAAAAAAATTCAATTTACTTTCATTATTATATTGCATAATTACGATTTTAAATTTTTGTTTGGGAAATGTTCATGTATTTTAAACCTAATATATCTAGTTGGTGGAATTAATAGTTTGTTTAACTACCTGTGATGGTGGAATTGATATAGGTACCTTTTTTTTCTAAAAGAAGGTCTGGCGGAATCGATGAGATACCAATTATAAGTTTAGATATTATATAGTTATCGTTGTAATATAATTATAGGTACACTTTCACAAAAATAATAAATACACATTTATTAATATAATTATAATAATAATATTATGCATAATTGGAAAATCTTATAACATATACTATTTTGATTAGAATAATTCAAATATACTAACTTTGAGACTTAAATTATTTTTCTCATCCACTTAATCGTTTCTTACACCAAATCGATTAAAAAAAAAAAAAATTAAATTTTTGTTTTTGTTCCCACACAAGCAGTTTATATTCCATACATCAAGCTGAATATTTGTAGTTCGGTATTATATATAAAATACCAATAATATATCCCTACAAGAAGTTAAATAGTTTGCGAATCTGGTTGACATTACCACCCAGAACTGGTTTAAATTTACGACTGGCGCATTACGGTAGTCATCATCCTTTTTGTAAAATTTAAAACGCCGACCGATTTCGTTTAATTTTTCTTCATTCTGATAGTTACTCATTCAACATAATAGCTATGGTAAATTATTGTTTTTTCTTCCTATAATTATCATCTAGAGATATAATATTTTATATTCTACATCAGTATTTCACAAACATTGTTTCGTGGTATTGGTCCAACAGTTTCTCGAAGTATCTCAGACTGTCGATATTATTTTTATTCATATATTAGTATTTATTATACTTCATAAAAATATGTATTAACTTAAAATGTTTTTTAAGGCCAGACGTTTGTATGGTGTGCCAAAAGGTATGAAGTATGCATAATAATAATGACGTGTTGATATAATAAAATCTATGATGAAATGAAAATTTGACATTTTTTCTTTTAAGTGTTTAATTTTTACAACTTACGTTATAATATTTATAAAGCGCGTGTAACGTAAAGTTTTTTAATAATTAAATTTTTTTTTATCAAATACCTTCTATTAATTAGTATTTTTAACCTTAATTAATACAGACTTTTTAAAATCTACTTGATAAATGTTTTTCGTTTAGGGTTTGATGTTAAGTCGTAAATTCAACCAAAGATTGGATTTCAAAAACCTGTGTTGATACTTAGTAACATCATGCATTAACATATTATTATCTTAGGGTATTTTTTTACGAAGTCTTTATCATGCAATTATTCGTGCTCAAAAAAATGTGCAAGCATTAGCCTTTGACACATTCTTGAAAATCCCCTCCCCTTTACAATATACACAGCTCAAAGTTTTACAAAATTCCAATAAAAGTGTGATAATAATAATTTACCGGTTTTATTTTGTTTTTCAAATTCTATTTTTAGAATGCAATTGCAACGAGTTTTCTCACCGGTGCTTCTTCGACAAAGAGTTGTACGATCGGACCGGACATGGAGGACATTGTCTAGACTGTGCAGGAAATCGGGACGGAGCGAACTGCGAGCGGTGCAAGGAGAACTATTACCAGAGGAAGGGTGACACGCATTGTTCACCATGCGAATGTAATGAAGTCGGTGAGTGTAGAGTGTGACAACGAACTGATGTCTTACGGTTTTCTCCAACGTTCTGAAATGTTTTACGGTTTCCCCGAATATATTTTACCAGTCATTCTTTACCACAGGGTCGTGGAGTTTGCAGTGTAACGCCGAAGGCAAGTGCCAATGTCGTGCGGGCGTGGCAGGCGACAAATGCGATCGGTGCGCAGAAAACCATTTCGATTTTGGGCCGACAGGATGTAAACCGTGTGGATGTACCGTGGCTGGTAGTTTGGATAACGAGCCAAGGTGTGAAGCTGAAAACGGAAATTGCATATGCAAAGAGAACGTCGAAGGAATTCAATGCAACAAGTGAGTTAATACGTTTTTTCCGACAATAACACAGAAAAAAACCACTATTAATATTATACGTTATTGTTATTATTTTAAATTCAATTACTTATTGTGTGCTTTTTACTACTCTCAAATACTATAGTAGAATATTTTTAATAGCTTTGAAAAAGTTTTCTGCTTCGTGGCTTCATTTACTACTGAAATTTGGAATGTCAGTTGAATTTTTGTAGAATAAGGATGTATTCTGATTAAACTGAATGATGGAATAATAATTGTCGTTCTTAATAATCTTGTCTAATCAATACGTCAGTCAAAAATCTGAATAATCATTTTAAACATTAGATAACTATTTACATAACTTTGAGTACTGAGTGATAACGGACTATAAATTAGCTGTAAATACGTTTTTGTGTAAAATAATGTCAAAACGTTATTATCACCTTTTAAGTATTAGACATTTGGTTTTGAAACCGAAAAAGTGAATTCATAATCTACGTTTTAATTGTATTTAATAAAATAATATTATTGTCATGACACATGTTCGGTTTATATTTATCTAAAAAAAAAAAATATATCACTTTTTTGATTTATCGATTTATGGGGAAAACGATAAAACAAAATTACACGTCTAGAAGATATGCTTATATATATATTTAATCGATAAATATTGTTACTTTATTGCATAGATGTAAACCGGGTTTTTTCAACTTGGACGAGGACAATTTATTCGGTTGTACGCCTTGTTTCTGCTATGGGCATTCTTCGGTGTGCCAGTCCGCTTCGGGTTATTCGAGAGGTATCTAAATTATTGTTTTATTTATTAATTTTTTTTATCATCATTACAACACTCTAAGTGCAATCAAATCGCATTTTGATATTCACGCATGCGTCCGTGTTTACTACATCATCTGCAAATTTATATTTATGTGTTTTAAGTGTCCATCGAGAGCACATTTGTTCGGGGCAACGAGCGTTGGAATGGGTCCGACATTTACGGTAGAACGGTGTTACCGGTTCACAGTCCTTTCAAACAATCGTTGGAGATTTCTTCACCATCAAAAGATGCCGTTTACTTATTGGCACCGGGTAAGTTTTTGAGAGCTAATAAAAATCCATCTACTTATCTATAACCTACTACTATACGCGTGGAGTTATAATATCGCGAAAATACTGTAGACAAGTTCCTCGGAGACCAGCGTTCCAGTTACAATCATGACTTGACTTTCAAACTGAGCATCGGTGAAAACAGTCCCGACCCAACTATCAACGACATCATTTTAGAAGGCGGTGCCGGTCTTCGGATCACTCAAGCAATATTTGGACAAGGAAACACATTGCCCTCTGATACGGTAAATGTCTTGTCCGTAGTTATATTTTAGGGCAGCAGTTTCCAAAATTGTTCAGCTTGTGCCATCCTTCTTGAACTAATATTTTCTTAGGGAGCTCTTCACAAGTCACAGCTTGGCTAATCATAAGAAATAGAAAAAAAAAATAAAACCAAAAACAATTGTTTATGGCGATCATATTAACACGAAAACGAGTTTCACTAGAAATCTTAAATCTTTTTATCGTAGATTGGTATATTGTATCATTTCCGTTGCCACCGTCATCGGATTTTCAAATTTATTTGCAAACCATAGTCATAACATTTTACGACAGCACTGCGTCCCTGTAAAGACTAAAGACACTGCAAAACATCTGAGTGTCACAGTGCACACTTTGGAATCGTTGTATTAAGGCATTTGCGCCTAAAACAAAATGTGTATTTTAGAATTAGTTTACCGATTGTGATGCTTATATTTTATGATCAGTATAAATCCATTATAGTGCTTACCTTTTAGTTTAACCTTTGAGCATTAAAAATATGTTTCTATTTAATCCTGCAGAAATTTCATCAATATTGAATATTAATCCATGCATTAAACACACTCGTAAGCCATCTATATGTTATTAAAATAATCTAATATTTAAAGATAATATTATATTGATCTCAATTAATTACTGAGTAACAGTTAAAATATTTTTAGCTTACGAAAAAAATAATTGCCTTGCATTTAAAATAATACTAACAGCTAGTTTTTTTCCAGTAATCAATAAAAGCATCGATATTTTTATGAATTTAATATTATTATAAATTTATAAACAAAACAAATATGATGTTTAATAATGGGTATCGCCCATAGACGAAATAAAGTTTTCGTTTATTTTTATTATATTTAGAATTTAATTCCACATAAATAAAGTAACTAAAGTTATATTGATATTATTACTAGATATTTAAATTTTAAATTATTCAAGGTTATTATTCAGCGCACTATTATTACTCTATCAACCTTGAAAATAACAAAGCACAATTGATTTGTACGAAAAGATTGTTTTAACCGTAATCGCTAAATTCTAATATTTTAAATTACCATCAACAACTCTGATCCATAATAATTATTATAGTAACGACTAACGGTATTGCTTTGATTTTCTCCTACGTATAGCCCAAAATGTACAAATTCCGCCTTCACGAGAACCCGGACTATGGCTGGCAACCCAGGTTGTCTCCGCGCGATTTCTTCGGCGTCTTATCAAATCTGACAGCCATCAAAATACGTGGAACATATTCTGACAGAGGTATGTACATACTTGATGAGCAAAACACACATATACAGCACACGATAATCGTATAATCGTGTATAATATATTAATAATGTTATTTATCGGTTTCTATTAGGTGTCGGATTCTTGGACGACGTTTCACTTCAGACGGCCCGGCGCGGCGCTCCAGGATTGCCGGCCAACTGGGTCGAGATGTGCACTTGTCCCGAAGGATACATCGGACAATTCTGCGAATCGTGCGCACCTGGTTCTCGACACGAACCTACAAGTGGTGGTCCTTTCTCACCGTGTGTCCCGTGTAATTGTCATGGTCATGCCTCCATTTGCGATGCGGATACAGGTACCAACGATTTTTATTTGTACCTTTAAAACATGACTTATAATATTATAAAGGTACCTACAACAGTATTATAAGGTACTCGAGTAAAAGTATTTAAAATACTTTTTTTTTTAATCAATTTATTTTATATTTTTTAAAAGGATAAATAGATGTATGAATTTGAGTTAAAAAGATTTTTATTATAAAAAATAAGTTGAATTATGTTTTATTTGTACATCTTCGTTTATAGTATGATTTTAATGAGCGGGTCAATAATATGATGTAAAACATTATTACATTCAACTATTAATGAATAAAACATAAAAGTTATAATTTTACACATAATATTTGACAGCTTATTTTTAAAAATAATTATTAGAATATTTTTGGGTATAATGAGTATAATATATTCGCTTTTTGTAACTTATATTTAACTGAAGATTAAAATACCTTGATATTATAGTTGAAAATAAATGAGTGATTTACATTTATAGTAATTTTTTAGAAATTATATAAAAAAAAAAAAAATAATAAATAATATTTATGTTTATAAACATTAAATCAAAATGCTATAAAATACTGAGTAAATACTTTTTTTCGGTATTTAATTAAGTGTTTTAAATAATCTTTAAAATAAATATCTGTATCAATATCATATCATAAAAATAATATGACATGTGAAATGATTTATACGTTTTATTCACAGGTCGGTGCATTTGTCAGCATAATACAGCGGGGGAGAATTGTGACAGGTGCGCGAAAGGATACTACGGTAACGCTTTGCAGGGCACCGCACTCGACTGTAAACTGTGTCCGTGCCCCAATCAGGGTAGTTGCGTTTTGATAGGAGAAGATACAGTCATTTGCTTGGAATGTCCCAAAGGATACGGAGGTAAGCAAGTGATTTACGAATACGAACATGTCTCTTTTAGGATTTTAACTATAACTAATTTCCACAGGCCCCAGATGTGACATTTGCAGTGATGGTTATTTCGGCGACCCGACCGGAAAGAACGGACCGATCAGTATTTGCAAATCGTGCGACTGCAATTCAAATGTGGATCCAAACGGAATCGGTAATTGTAATCGAACAACCGGAGAATGTCTAAAGTGCATCTACAATACAGGCGGAGCTCAGTGCGACCAATGTTTACCGGGTATGTATTTCGTATAATATTATACTTTATGTGAAACTTGCACGGATTGATATATTGTAATCAGGGCTATAAATATAATATATTTAATAAAATAAAATATTGTTGAAAAACTGTATACTATTATGATCTAAAAACTAACAAACAATGATCTAAAAACCCATAATATTCAATTTAAATTGAAAAAGGATGAAATATTTTTTTTTTTAGTAAAATATTAAACACAAACCATTAAAATAAGAAAACGCAAGCTTAAAACAGAATATTTAAAAAAAATGTATATTATATTATGTTTAAATCTTCACACCTAAAACATACAAGATAGAACATTTATAATTAAAATGCGAATATTATGTACCACTATATAAGTCAAATAGTTATTCTTTTTAAGATAAAATATTTCGATTTAACTTAATCTTTTAATTATTTGGCTATTTGGCACACTGGCTGTTACATTGTTGTAATATAAATAAAGTATATCTTTATTATTTAACTATTTTCTTGGCCAATAAATTATTATATCATATCTTAATTTAATTTGTTGATGCCTTGGTTTTCAGGATACTTTGGGGACGCTCTTGCTCCCGAAAAAGGCGATTGCAAACCTTGTGACTGTTATCATCTCGGCACTACTGAGACAGGATTTGGACCTTTGGCGTGTGATCAGTTGACTGGACAATGTCAGTGTAAACCACACGTGATTGGAGTAAACTGTGACCAATGTGAACCTGGTCACTTCAACATAGCCAGCGGAGACGTAAGTTGCGGCGACGAGTCGTATGTAAAACGCATAGGAAATTTTTAAACACAAATATTTGTGTGAATGTAAAATCGTCACGATAAACTTATAAAAAAATTCGGAAATAGCAAAAAAAAAATATCTTAGGGTCAATACTGTTAGAAAAATATGAGGTACAACTTGGTCCATCTATACCCGTTAATAGCGAGAGAGAGAAAAAAGTTTAGTGTTCTATACAGTATACAGACTGTTTTAAGGAGTTCAGTATAGGCAATTTTTTATGTACGTATATGCGAATAGATTCAAGTGATCATTAGCGTGTAAAATAAACATTAGATTACTTACGATGCACTCACATAAAACTGACTACCGGCGTGTACAGTAAAAAACATATACTTATCTGTATGTACTTTTTGTCAATTCTACTAATGGATCTAATAAAGCGATAAGATTTTTAATAATAGATTCGGATTTGTTAAAATATCTACTTGAGATCGATTAGGCCATACTTAAAGATTTTTTATTTTGTTTCCGAATTATCAAAATTTAAAATTATACGAGTATATACTTAGTCCAATAAATATCAAAAAGACATAATGACAAATCAAAATCAATTTTCAAAAGAATAATCGTAATTAGTAAGTCTATTGGTGTATAAAATTATTTTGTACGATCGACAAACAATTAAAACCTCTATTTCGGTTGAAATAACTGATAATTTACAACCTCCTTAAGGACAGCATACACATTATTGGTGCTGTGATGTTTACAGGGATCGACTGACTTTTTCTAACAATGTTGGCTCTTGATAGCCTATAGCAGCAGGATACGGATAACGCATAGTCCATATATCTTTTAACAATATGATTATGGCTATAAATCATTTTATTTTATAGGGCTGTCAATCGTGCGAATGCGATGCAGTGGGTTCCGTCAACAATACTTGTGATTCAAACACCGGTCAATGTATATGTCGGCCGGGCGTAACCGGCAAGAAATGTGACGCGTGCGAACCTTTCCACTATGGATTTTCAGTCGAAGGGTGTAAATCATGCGCTTGTGATTCCATCGGTTCGGTATCTTTGCAGTGCGATGCAAATGGACAGTGTCCCGTGAGTTTAAAACCATATTTGCACTCATATAAATGTTATATAGTACTATAAAATGACTTATAAAATTGATGGTAAAATAAACTTTCAAAAAGTAATTTAGTAGGTACAGGCGGTACAGTACCTAATTAAAATACTATTTAAAAAAAAAATATATATATATTTAGAAATTTTCAAATAATTTTAAAGACGTGTTTGAGACAAATTTTAAATAATATTTTTTTTTATTATTTATTAGTAAATTATATTATTAATTTAGGTATGCCTTTTTATCATTAAATTCCTAGTTTTAAATATTATTAAAATTTTGATTAAGGGTATGACAACTGAATTTAAATTATTTACAAAATTTTAATGAAAACAATTATTAATATTTAGTATTTTATGGAAACTTATTTTTTATTTTATCTTTTTATTTATTAACAACTTAATAATGTATTTAAATTTTAAAAAGTTATCTAGAACACATTTTATTGACAATGCATTGTTTAATATCAATTAAAATTATGTATCTATTGTTTATATAAATATTTTATTGATTATAAAATGAATACGCTTATTACAGTTGTTAGTTTAATATTAGTATCAATTATTTAGTAGTGGCATATTATGTAAAAACTTAAGATTTTAGTACTGTTATTAATTTAAAATAAAACTTTGTAAAAATAAGTTTTTTCAAAAAAAGTATTTGTTATGTATTCAAATACCTATTAATATATCATTGATAGTATTTTAATGCTTTAAAATATATTTAAATACAAATGTATAAAATATTTTATTCTAATATTTTACTTTACTGATTATAATAGGAGTATTGTCTATACCGTTTTAAAATATAAATTATTAAAGCATGGTGAAAATGGTAGAACATGTATATTGAAATATTTCATTTGTGATTTCACACATTAATAATTTAATACATTTTTCTATAACTATTTAGTGCTTGGAAAATGTGGAAGGAAGACGTTGTGATCAGTGTAAAGAAAACAAATACGATCGGCAAAGAGGTTGTGTGGACTGTCCAGCCTGTTATAATTTGGTTCAAGATGCCGTTTCTTCACACCGCGAAAACTTAAAAAAACTCGAAGACGTGTTAAAAAATATTAATAATAATCCTACTGTGATAATTGATGAAGATTTCGAACAAAAACTGAAAGAAGTACAGTCGCATGTGGACGAATTGGAACAAAACGCCAAACTCGCTACTGGTGGTATGTACAAAAATATTTGTACCTTTTTAATTTACGTTTAATGTTTGTACCATATTTAATGGTGAATGATTTTTAGGGGATGGTTAATTTTTTTAAATATTTTTATTGTTTTAATCCTCTCATAACTCTATTTACCTATTTTTTTCAGCTAATATTTTATTTTACTGTGTATAATATAATGTGTTACTTACCATTGCTTATAATATTATTATATATTGGTATACAATCCTTAGGAATTGAAAAAATAAAATCATTAAAAATAATCTAACTTTTGTCATCAATAAAAATTATATAACTAAAGAATTTTCTAGTCACAATCCAGTAAGAAATTTAAAACTTGTGCAATTCATTTACCATTAAGTTTATCACAGCATAAAAATAGCTTTTTTATTTATAATTTGAAGATTATTTTTGTTATTGCACCTGGAATACTTAACTTAAAGTGTTGGTTGTTATGTAATTATATACACGTGTTATTTGTGTCTTATAGGCAACATACCAACGAGTGACAAATTGATTTCTCTTCAAAGCCAAATTATGGAAATTCAAGATCTAATGGCCCAAACTAGCAACTGGACTACTTTAGCTGAAGAAAAATCTCTACAGGCTGAAAATAACATCATGAATATTGAAAAAATGAATGATAAGTCTGCAAACACATTGAAAAGAGCATTAGAATATATTGAAACCGAAGGAGCCACGTCGCTTCTTAAGGCAATATCGAAAAGTAATGAACTCGGACAACAGAGCGATCAAATGTCTGAGATTGCTAGGGAAGCGAGAACATTTTTAATGCTGTAAGTAGTACTCTTATATTATATATTAAATTTAGCAAACTTTCCTTTTACATTGGTATATATTTTTTTTATCCGTATTTTATCTATCTTTAGAAAAGAACAAGAAATTGAAAAAATGAAAGTTACTGCAGCGCAAGCTGTGAAAATATCATCTGAAGCATTTAACATAACCAGAGACGCTATAAATCAACAGAAAAACATCAGGTATAAAAAGGTTATTTTAAATAATTTTGTACAAGTTCTTCAGCTTTTAAGTGTCGATCAGCTTGTGCGCGTCTTCCTCTCCGTCTTTGTTTAAAAATTATAAGTGATATTCGTCCCAGTTAAAGAACTCGACGATTTTTTAATTATGTATTTACAACAAAAATAGTAGACGTATAGGTACATTTTATACATTTTGTACATAATGATATACTATAGTCAATGAAAAAATATTAATTTAATTATCAATACTTTTAGTGATGAACTAAAATCCTTGGATACGGAAGTTAATTATGTAAAGGATAAATTGAATACTATCATTACCCAAGCAAATGAAGCACAAGAATTGGTGACTATGGTTAACAATGATTCATTATCAATATATCGAGATATTTACGCAATAAATTTACCAGATGTCAACATCACTGTTATGAAGCAAAATATTTCTAATTTAAACGCAGAGGTACGATAAATATGTAATTACCTACTAAAAAAATAATTAAAAATAATAATGTAAGCTTAATATTTGAGTATTTTTTTTTAAAACAATATATTTTTTAGGTTGAAAGTATCAAGAATGATTTAAAAATGCAAGGAACTGACGTAAACATAATGAATCTTATAAAGGAAGTAGCCGAAGAGTTACAACAATCTGAGATTACATTAGCTCAAGGCGAGAAGCAGCAAAGAACCAGGGAAAACTATTTGGCACAAGCAAATGCTTCTTATGAAAAAGCAGATGAAGCGGTTAAATTAGGTGTTAGAATTTTAGAAGAAGCTCAACAAACACTAAGCACATTGCAAGGTGAGTATACAAATTCCAGTCATATTGTTGAAACGGTATATCATTAATTTAGTTTAATTTTTCGTTATAGCATTTGACAAACAGGTGCAAGATAGTAAGAAAAATGCAACAGAGGCCTTAGAACAGGTTCCAGAAATCAAACAGTTGATAGAAGAGGCCAATGATAATACTATTCGTGCCCAAGAAGCATTATCTGGGGCCGAATCGGGTGCCTTAGCTGCTAGAGACACTGCTAAAAATGCACAAACAACATACGCTGATCAAGCATTAGAGGTACTAACATGTTAAAACGATTTTCATATTCAATATTTAATTGTTTTTTGTATTATAATAGGATTCGAATAAAACAAAAAAAGCTGCCGAAGAATTGGCATCCGAGGTACACAAGTTATACGACGAAAGTGTTGGCCAAATAAAACGAGTAGAAAATACTGCAGAACGCTTGAAAGATGCAGAAACTCAATTCGAACAAGATCAAAAAAGTATTGACGACGTAAGCGTTCATAAAATATTGTTAAAAATCGAATAGTTTTCATCGATAAATAATAATATTATACTTAATATATTATGTTCGTTACAATACAATTTTGTGTACATTATTACATTAATTATAGGCAAAAACGAAAATTGGCCAAGCAAAAACATCAGCATCTGAATCTAAAAAAATGGTAGACAAAGCATTACAGGATGTCGAACAGATATCAAAAGAATTGTTAGATTTGGCCGATAGTGGTAAGTTAATTTTTTTAATAATTTTTCTCTTATAAGACCATATATAGCAGAAAAAAATTCCTAAAGTACTAAGTTTTTTTCATTCAATAATGCTTTTTTTTTATTTGAAAATATTAGTTCTTATTTATTAGGATAAATAATTGTTTACATGATCATTTATCTATGAATATTTATGAATTATAGTATTATATGTCAAATAGATAGCTGTTTTTTGTTTTTTAATATTTTGTTAACTCAACTGTTAAATAATTGTTAGAAATTTTATTTAATCTTTATTTTGTTTTTTATTAACTGTTGTCGTTTGATATTTATTTAAATTATTTTGTTAATATAGATACTAACAAGTTGAGTTTACTTAACACTAGATTGGAAATGGCTGAACAAGAACTGTTGAACGCTGAGTTGGACAAAAAAATAGCGGCTATCAATAGTGCTAAGATTTCTCAAGTGAGTCTCATAACCCACCGGAGTGTATCAATGAATTATGTTTCATTATAATAATTGGATTGTTTTCACTTTATATGTAGGCTCAGTTAATCAACAAACTAAAAGAAGATATAAAATCATTAACTAACGACGTCAAAAATATCGAAGCGATACGGTTGGCACTTCCGAGTGGATGCTGGAAGAAAACGAATATAGAAGAATTGCGTTGAGCGAATAGTATCCATCTTGGGATTACACGTTTTACCATTTAGTCGTTAATTTAAGATAGTTATACAATTTTTTTAATATTTAAGTCAATTTTATGTGTTCATGAGTTTAAAAAGATAGTCATAATAATATGTTATCATCAAAATTTGTTTACGCAAACAAATTATTTTTGCAATGTAGTAAGCAAGTTCAAATTTTGAGATGAATGCACATTTTTAATATTTTCTATATTGAACAATACTATGTGCATACATATTTAATTACATTAGTTTAACATTTAAGAATTTTTTTAGTAAATTATTCAAAAACAAACAAACAAATAAAATAATTACACTTCTAATCGGCTCATCGAAAATTAATTTAAATAAAATATATTTTTATTATAATTCCAACCAATATAAATTCAGTTTTTAATAAATACTTTAAAATTTGTCCCATAGCCTTTAAGTGTCTTAGAATTATTTTATATATCTAAGAATGTACCTATGCAAAAGACTTAAATAATAATTATGCTGTCTTGAGTAGATTTAGATATATTATAATATTTATGTAAGATTATTTCAATGTGCCAAAGACCAATTTATTATTTATTATCCTACATATTATGTCTTACTTATATTGAAGCTTTTTTCCTTATAATAGTGTAAAATAAATAAATAAACATAATTAAATATGAGGGTTTTTTTTTTTTAATCTTCATCCAATACATTTTTTTTAGGCAAATAAAATATTTTAGTTTAAAACTAATGAAATAAACATAATTTTAGCCTATCAAATAATTAGTAATTTAATGATAACAATTTGAAAGTTATAAGTTATATTATTAAAAATGTTTTGACTTAACATTTAACAAAACACAAATATGCACATAGTTATTTTATATCTACCCCCGAAAGCGAGCTTATAAAATCATTATTTTTGTTATACTATACGTTGTGTTTATCTATCTATAAATGTTTATTTTTTAAGTATCTATACTTATATACTCGATTTTTAAACTAAATATTTAGTAAAATGTATTTTTAAATATTTTTCAAAATAATTAATATATTGCAGCATCTATGCAAATACGTTTAAAAAGTATCTCTATAAGACTGTCAATATACACTTATGCCTATTCAGTACACAATATTATCATAGTCAGACTTCAGTAACAGCAGTTACATCGTGTACCTACCTACATATAAGGGGCATGTGTAAAACCTTACAATTTATTGGTAAATAGTCAATTTTAGTATTAAATTAATTTCGCGGGTACATATTTTTGACCATCTTTAATATTATATTTAAACTTCACAGGTATTTAATGTAAACTCCAATTATATAAATTAATAAAATAAAACCTTAATTTTGTATGTATTATTATAATATATAATATTATAAGAAAAATAAAATTCAATTATAATAATATAATTATTCAATCAAACAATTAATACACATTACATTGTAATCGTATTTAACAACATTTAAATTTTCAAATTTATTAAATTAATTAAAATTTTTTAAAATCTGTATACATAGTTTTAATATTGTAATATACATAAACAATAAAAATAAATAAATGAATAAAATATTAATTGATCCATTGTGGCAACTATTTGGTATAGTTAGAAAAAAATATTACACATAATATAGTTTTTTGGAACAGAATGTTAACCATACAAAATATGTATTGGATACAATTACAATCTAAATTTTAATAATCGAAAAATCAAAAATTTAATAAGACGTTTGCTCTATCTATGTTTCCTATCTTAAGATCACGTGCTATATAGACAAAACGCATTAACGTCAATTAGCCATCTTTTAATGATTTTTGAGTAAGTTTAGATTAAAATTACTTTTTAAAAAAATGATAGAGAATAATATTTTTTAGGGTTGACTTATCGATTTAATATTTTTTCTTTATTTGATTTAAAAACAAAATGTAAAATTTTGTATGTTTAAATAGATATTAAATTATTTTGAGATAATACTTAAATTAATTGAAAAGTCAAACCCACATGATACACTTGACAAGTACGAGTTTATACAACTATATAATCTAGTAATAAATATGATAGTCTATGACATTGAATGTATTGTGTTGTTAATTTTAGCTTTAAATTGAGAAGGAAGATGAGTCATTTTATTATAATCAGGTTTAGGTAGACTATAACTTAAAATTTAAAAGTAACAAAAATTAAATGACAAAATGTTGACCGATCAAAAAATAATACTGTCAGTGCTTGTGCGTTGGTTTTACAGGTCAAACCAATAGAATTCACATACATAAAAATGGTAAATCGATGGAATTTACTTATCGTTTAGTGAGAGAGATACCCAGTACGAGTTCATAGAACTGCATGGTATTGTGTATATATATAGGTAGACAGTGCTATTGAAATTCATTTTCGCATTGTAATAATTCAACACCTTTTCCGTGGTTACAAACCACACCATATGTCATTGGCTCCAAAATACGCGTTAGGTTGTCGTCGTCTAAGCCGTCACCGTTGTTACGTTGATTTACGGTGGCATTATGCATAGGTACTCATTTACATGTCTACCGTCGTTATCATTACATCGTTATTACTATTATTTTTTTGATCAGCTTGTAACAGTAATAATTATAATCGTTTAGAGTCGGTTAAAGTGCTCCGACTAGGTCCTATAGTGTTTCTTGGATTAAATTTTTAAATAAAATTAAATATTATAAAATATCAAGTATTTCGTAGTTGACTGTTTGCGGCATACAGAACGCGGTCGTAGTGCGATATGCGATTACGACGACAGAAAAGAACGAGACGAAGAAAACGACGACGACGACGACGACGATGATGTCAACTTCTTCGGCCAAACACTGTGAAAGGCTGCTAAATGATAATCAGTTGACAATTTGGACTTCGAAAAGTGTGTTTTCTTTATTCTCCCTATCTTTTTCTCTTCCTCTTTAAATATATATATATATATATATATCATACAGAGGTAGCGAAACCTTTAAATACTGGACACTCTCGGTCTAAAATTTTGTTCATTCATTTTTTAAAGGGTTATGCTTATAGAAATTTCGTAGATTGTTTTTCAAAAAAACGTTCTCGTTTTAAGTCTCTAGAGCTTTATCATATTTTTATTTTAGCTGTACGTTTATTATGAATCTGTCAGTGAGAACTTCTTCTTTTATGTGCATAGATTTATCAATAATATATATTTTATATATATTAACAATTTTGTCCTTTACTATGTCAACTGAATCAATCTTTGGGCCAGTGGCACTTGACTAACTTTCCAGGGAGTGAGTGATAGAATAGATTTTTTATGTATTGGTTTGGTTAGCTGTGGAATTTCTGGTTATATATTTTTGCTACTTTACATTTCATGGGTATTATATGTCTATATATAGGGATTCGTTTGAGACTCAGTAGGGAGCGTTAGTGATAGACGGATATTTTTGATTAGAAATTTTGAATCTTTTTGTATTCGATATTTTGATGAACCCCATAGCTGATTTATAAAGATTTACATTTTTATTTTAAGGAAGATTTCACTGTTAAATATAATAATGATACTACAACACGATAATGTAGAAATAAAATAGTGAATAAATCAATATTCGTTTTACCTTAATGACAAACAATAGAGAAGCGTATATTATAAAACGCTGCTTCTCACTAACGATGAAATGTTTTTTGATTCATTAGAAATCGACCTGATGATATCAATTTAATAAGTAAAAATTAAATTTTTGATTTGTTTGAATTATACAAATGTCAACAGGAATATTTCATTTTCATAGTTAATTATTTTTCCCCTCCGAAATAGAATGCATAGATTATATGATCACAGAGGAATAAATAATTTTAAATTTCACTATTTGATTATTAGCATCGTTTTTCCAAAGAGAAAAATAATTTAATTAAGTAGTCGCAACAAAGTTAAACATTTAATAATCTGCTTGTAATTGTTGCATTTTTCAGTTGGTACTTTTTTCAGATCTTTCAAATAACAGAATAAGTATTAATATTTTTAGGCATCTATAACAGCATTAACAATTACGTCGTAGATATAAGATGAATTATCATATTGTAATATAGACTGACATCGAAAAAATAATAATATAATTTTTCGTTGCATAAGTCAAGTTATTCCAATCGTAATTCAACAGTAAGTAATTATCGTCAATTATATAGATAGTGATAACTAGTTAACATATATTAATTGTATGATATCACTATCGTTATTCGTCTGATATATGACTTCATTGATTTTTTTTCTTCTAGTTAAATTATTAATATTATTTAATTGACTAATACCTCCTCCCCCCGCAATATGACAGATGGCTATAGCATACACGAAACACCAACACCAGAATATATAGTAATTTACTATTTAATATTTTATCTATTGAATGATGCAACGTGTCACACAGTACAATACAAGAATATAGTACAGTCTATATGAGAATACCGTATAAACATAATAGTACAGTGGAATTTCTTTCACATACCACATTTATGAATACATTTTGGGCAATTATTAAATTATATTGAAGAAATTGTCACATTTAAAAATTATAAAATATTCATTCAAGTTATTATTTTTGAGTTACTTAAATTTAAAGTTAAAGAAATTTAAGTATTCACTCTCGCTATGGCTTAATTTTTAAATAGTGTTTAAATATTTTAAAACTTAAAACTACTGATTACAGATACATTATTAAACTTTACCATTTATTTAACATCATATACGATATTATTATTTAATAATTGTAAAAAAGTATAATTAATAATAATTATGCATGTATAGTCTTTATATTTAAGTAAATAGGTAGAAAAAAAAATTCAGTTATGTAAACCCGTTTGATTATTTTCTAGAATATTTTTGTAATTCTTTATTACAATTTACAAGTGAACGATTCATGATTATTATCTTTAAGTTATTTTTCTCCGGAAGTCCGGAAGTTTTTACTGCGTTAAAAATATGATTTAATATCATATTATATTTTAATATAATATTAACGCATAGCATCATAATAAACCAATAACCGTATGATATTAAAAAATAAATAACGGATTCGATTATTATGTATTATTTACTATACCACATAACTTTAACGTTTACCTATTGTTTATTTAATTTTAATATAATAATGTTAAATATTTGCATTGTTAAGTGATAATTCAATATTATAACGAGATTGATTCCTTTAAGTTTTTAAACAAAAAAAATATATTTTTAAACTCAATGAATTACGTTAAGTTTAATAATGTAGTTTCAAATTAAAATGACCAGCTGTCTCCCACATCATTTGACGTTTTACTTTTGTTAAAAATATAAATGTTATTTATTGATATTTTAATTTTAAAATATTTTCGTTTTGAATAATAATCTCTAATATGAAAAACATATTATTTTAAAAATGGTTGAAAAGCTGCTATTCTTTTCATTGGATTTTAGTCTATATATTCATATATTTTTTTAATTTTCAAGTACTCAAATATCAAAATACTATCTAACTAAACTGATTGGTTCAAGGTTAAATAATAATAAATTTATCGTGAATCGATTAATTTTAAAATATATAATTAATAAACACACAGTACTATATCTACACGTATTTGTTTTTAATCAATTTAATACTTTTATAAAATTAATACAATAATTAAAATTAATAGTATTAAAATCTATTGGTATAGTGTACATTGAAGAAAAATATGTTGTCATGTCAACAAGTTCAATACATATTGTATATTATGTTTATGTTTTTTATTTTATTATTCAATTGGGGGTTTTTTTTTTACTTTACGACAGGCTTATAAATACACATATATAGCAAGTACCTATACAATAACATCAATAACCTACAGTGAACTTTAATTGAAAAATACAAAAATATAAAACTAAAATGTATTTAACAGTCATAATAAATAGTTGATTGTTAAGAATAACTTTAAATAATGCACAAAATATATTAAACAAGCATATTTTAATCGAAAGTTTGAACTTCGAAAAACGATTGTAAATGGAGTTTGATTTTCTTAAAAAAGGTCAAGATTTTTTTAAAAAATAAAATAAAAACATAATCATGAAATCATTATACAGCGTATTGTTTTGATTGGAAAGTTATTCAGTTACTTTAATTTAGCTTAGTTTGGTATGCAGATAATAACTAAATGTCTAATAATACTATAAATTAATATAATATGACCTATCTTTGTTTTACCGTATTATATATTAAGTGGTATATTAAAAACATAAAAAAAAACTTCACTAAAATATTCGAATTATTTAAACTGATTTATTACTAATTTTTCGTTTAAATAAAATATTGTGTATAAATTCTAATTGACATTTTCACATAATCAGTGGCATCACCATTTGAGTTTTTTGTATCTATGCAGTCATGTAGCTATAGAATATTAAAGAGTTAAATAATGTAATGCTTTAATAGATAAGAAAAATTAGAAAGTTAAAAGTGTGAAAAATATCTATATACTTAGAATAATATACACATACGCATTATGGTTTTCATAATAAATTTTAACTTTTATGCATATTGGTTATCGGTGCGATTATAAATTTTGTGGCAGGACAATAGGACGATGACAAAAATAGGAGAGTCTATGTATATGCTATCTTTCTTCAAATTGTGTTGTTGCTAATTGTAATAACTATTGTTTTGTAGTCAATTTTAACAAATGTAATTTAAAATACATATTTAAAAAAAAAAGTATATTTAATAACTTAAAATAAATGATTTATAAACTTATAGTCTTTAGATTTTTAACTCAGCCTATTTAAAAGTATTAAAGGATGATACAGACTTTCACTAAAAGATGGTTTGAGAATTATTTGTAATTTCATATAATTTATCTTATATCTAATGTTTAATGTTTTTAACAGAATCAAATACGTATTTTTCTATTTTTTGTTTCATTTCATATAACTATCATAAATTCTAGCCTTACTCATATATTAAATCCTATTATTTCTTACATACGTGTAATTTCGTTATGTGCCGTGAAAGTTTTGGGGCAGTCACAGTCAAAGTAGTAATGTTTGGGAGAGAGTGGGGGTGGGTGTGAGCGTAAGCGGGCGAATGAGTGGGCGATTGATTGATATTTCGGACACACGCAGAGGGTGGTTTTTTATTTGCCATTTTTACAATTAACGTATGCGCGTGGTATAGTAGCGACACGTTTTACTGTCGGACGATTGTATTGCACATTACAGCATGCATATAATCCCGTTGACATATTGTGCAGCAACCATCATGCGGTCGGCGAGTCGTTTGAATTCGTACGATCCGATTTTCGTAGCGACTATAAATACCGTGACATGTACATGCACGATAATTATTTATAATGATGATGAAAATTGTAATACAATAACATAATATCGTAATATGACGTCTCTCGTTTGCAATATCGTTAAAATCTAAAATACATTATTTCACGTCGAAATGCCGGTCGCCGACAGCGAATACGACGGCGGGCATATGATCGCCAATAATCACTATCTACGCGACTATCATAGGTCGACGGAGCAGCAGATTCAGCAGCAGAACGTCGTAGTCGTATCCGCAAACTCCTTGCCACCCGCTGCAACAGGACCGGAAGTGCATCAGGCCTTGCACTCCATGGCGCCGCCGGCACTGCAACAGCAGCATCGCCAGCAGAGGAATCTTCAGCAGCAACGCCGTCAACAGCAGCCAATCGTCCGCGATGCAGAGTTCATCGCTGTGTCGTCTCGGAAGAACAGGTAACTATGTAGCAAATTATTACTGTGGTGCATATAATTATTATACATATTATACATATATTGCACACGAGCACCAACTCGTTTATTTGTCATGTTTCAAAATGATATTGATCCTAATTGGGTCCTAAACCTCAGCTGAGAATTTCTCATGATGACCGCTATGACTGCTGTTGGGTCTAAGATAGATAACATATTTTATCTTTATAAAACGAATATACAAATTTCCGTCCATATAGGATCTTGTGAAATGTTTTCATTGTCATGTATCTTTACGTAAAAATGATTTCATTATTTTATGTACAACAAGTTTTCCGAAGACTGGTTGATTTTTATTCACGATTCATTTCGCAGCATCTTTACATTTAATTAAAATAAGTTTTGAAAATGCATACATTAAAAAATGATACAATTTTCAATAAAATGTGTTAAGTTGGATTAAAAATTAAAAATGACTGCGTTCATTATGAATTTAAAATATGTAAGAATCGCTTAATAAAAAAAAAATAAAAATTTTAAAACTAAATGCCACTATTTCGGGACATAGAAGTAAAAATATTATGCTCACAATAATTGTATCATAATATACAATTCACTAGTATTTTACCATTTTATTTATATTATCATAATATTTAATTATAATTTAGTGTAGTAAAAATCATAAATGACTTTTTCATTCGTTATTAAACATATACAATTAATGTTGAGCGTTTAACGATCGTTTCTTAATTATTTAGTTATCAACGTTTCAAGACGTGTACACGAGTGAAGTAGCAGGACTACTCCACGACATATTTCAACACAAATTCCCAACGATGCACATATAATATGTATAATGGAATAATTTAGTTAAACGGTTCTTATCTCTGTACATAGTTCTGTAGCAATGACGAAAGAAATATCGAATTTAATTGAAAAATATATCGTTGTGTGCATATTATACAATTTTATGAGTTATAAAACAAATAACTCATTAATTTGTAGACCCAAATAAAAAACAATTTGAACATTAAATGTTAATCGTAAAAAATGACATTATATTATTTTAATCGATAATAAATATAATAGTCTTAATTATATTACGCGTCAACAGAAAATAAATATTAAATAATTATGAGCTGTTGTTTTATAACTGTATATAATATTCGATATACACATTTTATTAAATCGAAACAATTTATAAATGGTTTTCCGACGACAGATCGGCGTACATGAAAATATTTAAAATAGATAGTACACACACATTGAAAACGGTCTAATAATATAAAATATTATATTTTATGATTATCTCGTTGCAATATTGGTTTACTTTTTATCTTGGATATGCCTTACCAAAACATACCTAATATAATGATTAATAAATAATAAAATGCCTGATAATCAATGAAAATATATACCATTTTATATATTATGTTGAGAGATTAAGTTAGAAAAAACGTTTGGCACTGCTCATTTTTACCAAATTTACCTTGTATAATTTATTATAATAAAGTAATATATTTTTTCCTTAAATAATAATCAATACACATTTTTTAAATTATAGTAAATTGTACGAATTTTTTTTAATAATAATCAATAATACAAATTATTGTAAGCAATAATAATTAGTAAATAAGCTTATATTTTTTTGAAAATTATAATCAATTATACATATTTTAATCTTCGTTTTTAAATGTAGTGAAATGTAAATTGATTAATGCCTTTTGAACATCAGACACAGATTAAAGATTTGAAGGAAGAGACTTTTTACGAGCGCGGTAAATACTTTTTCGTATAGCAGATATACCAGATATAATAAAATCTAAATTAGTTATGTAGTTATTTATTTCAGTTAAAATAATTTTCCTAGGACGAATACTTATATCTTCGACAGTCACTCGCTTACCTACTGCAGATATATTTAAAACCTATGGACTTATAAAAATACATTTTTCACTAGTTACAGACACGAGTACACGACATCTTATAAATAAACAAATTAACCAATTCGTTAATGTGAAATGTTTACGCAGGTGAATTTGGCGTAAATGGGCTGTCGGAAAAAATATACCTACCTATTTTATTTTGGCACGAACGGGGCTGTACCCAAAATGAATTTTTTTTTTTGGCACAGATGGGTGACCTCTTAAAAAATAATCAAATACAAGAATTGTTGTTAATTGTCGAATAATTGTGATGTCACAATATATACTTCAGATTAATGAGTATTCATTAGTCATGCTTATCGTTGTTTTTTCTTCAATAAAGAATTAATTAAAATTAGGACTTTTGGAATTTTTAAATTAGTATTAAATTTTTACTTTTAAAGATGAAATGTTCAAATACATCTATTTTGTTAGTATTAAAGGAGTTCTATAGGTTGTATATGATTTAAAAAAGAAAAAAAAATGATGCAAAGTATATTAATTGAAATTTGAACATTCCTTGATTTATTTAACTTTATATATTGAGGATAATCTTCTATGATAATAATTTTAAATATGTTATAGGGCTATGATAATAAGACGATACATTTATTATAGTAATTAATAATTGTGTATTATGCTAGCGTTTTATAATTTGTAAAAAATTGGTATTAACCTTAATAAGGATAGTTATACTAGTTAAAATATTGAATTTATTATATTTTTGATATAAAACTATAATATTGACATGTTACATTAGCTTAAATAATTTAGAAATGATTTAAACTTCGAATTAATAGAGTGAATATTTACAAAAAAGTCAACTGTAATAATTCAAAATAAAAAATAGCAGCTCAAAAAGTCAACTGTAATAATTTAAAATAAAAAATAGCAGCTCACTTTTATAAAATTGAAGTTTGAGTTATTTTATACCCCGAGAAACTCCCGGAATAAAAAATCTGGTATTAAAATGTGGTCTTCAAAATTATAAAAAAAAGAAAAATAAAGAAAATCGTAAAAACACTGTGCTATTAAAGTACAGAATCGACAAGATGAAGATCACGCTTGGTTAATCATCCTGTATACACGACATAGCAATTATTATTCGTTAATGTTGATAAAGAAATAATTTGGTTAATTAATATTATAATAATGTGCAGAAGATTATCGTTATTGGTAAGGAGTTAATTTTCATACCAAATGTATATTATAACTGATTAACACGAAAATTACATTGTGTGGAAAAAAAATCATTGTTTCTTTTCTCCGATAGCGCATACGCCATTCAGTTGTAAATAATAGCTGTATAACTTATTGACCGTTTGCTACGGTTGTTACGTTTGGTAGTCTAGTCATAATTTTTTTTACTAGCAAAAATATACATCCCCATGCATCTCTTTGACAGGAAGTTCCAAGATCTGTGGCGAGGCAGAACCGTCCTAGAAAAATGGATAATTTTTTTCGCCACCGTGTTGTGCTGTGTTTTTTTGATGCTGACGATCATGAAAATTAAAGGCAGTAAGTTGATAACCGAATACTCCTCGCGTTTAATATCACCATTTTATAATAATAATATGAGAGCCATTAATTTGTAGAAAAATGCATTACTCTTAGCTTACTGTAAGCTCCCAACATTTAAATTAAGTACTAATAAATTCAATTTTAAATCTTCATTTTTACAATTTTTAATTTTTAGGTAATTTTAAAATTTTTTATTATTAGTTTTTAACATATCCTCGTAAATTGAACCATTTTACACATATTTACGTTAATTGTTTAATTTTAGTCTTATTAATATCAATTTTACAAGCGTGTATATGTATAACTAATAAGTACTAATATTTATTGTATATAAATGTCTTATGCGTACATACGTCACGCTTAATTAATAATATATTTAACTTAAAATATTTCATACTTGATAAATAATCAATGACTATGAATACTTGTGCATTGTTTTTATTTTTTAAACTATGATTCCCAAGACATATACTTATTATAAATTTTATTCTGATATTTTTGAAGTTTTAATGCACAAGTGTTTTTAGTACATCTTCAAAAATTTTTAACACATTAAATTTTCAGTTTTAATTATAATATAATGCATTTATTAATAACCATCCGTATGTTTTTGTTATTATTGTTAAGGTGGTATATTTGGTGTTAGGAACATAACGTGTACAAGTGATGAATGTGTATTATCAGGTTTGTATTATCTACCTATATACAGTATATTACGAGATAATATTTAAAAACAGTAACATATAATACAAAACATATGATATAATTAGGGCTCAGAAGTTTATGATCTTAAAATCATTAAAAATGACCAAAAAAAAAAATGCAAATATTTCTTAAAAATCATAAAATATGACAAAAAAAAAAAATCACAAAAAATCACTTAAAAAATGGTAAATTTTTATTTAAAACTAGTAAAAATATATTTATTAAATTTTACTATTAAAACATATTTTATATTATCAAAAGTAAAAATGACAGTTAGCAATTATTATTTAATTCTATCGATTTTATCTTTACCTAACCCATATATAACTTGTGTAAAAAAATTTTTTATTTTATAAAATATAAATTTTATGAAGGTACTTATATACAGTCTGTGTAAAACAAAAACTATGCGTGTATTGTGTAAAGATTTTAATTGAAAAATCTAATGATAAATACAAGAAATTGAACTAAAAAGGAAAATAGGATCTAAAAATGACAAAAAATGACTTGAAAAGTAAAAAAAGTAAAAAAATGCAAATTAAAATTAGTCATTTAGATTCACATGTTTATGACACACATTTGTGACCAGGAGAGCATCGTTTAATAAGTTCCAAAAAAAAAAAAAAAAAACCAATACAAAATCCATCAAATTCCGAGCCCAAGATATAATATTCCAATCCTAAAAAACGTAACCTATATTAATAACTGTTTCGGGCGAAGCTGCAGATTTTCCCTGTAGGTTTTTATGATTATAATTCGTGTTATTTGCAGTTAAATTTTACAATAATATTTTATGATTTTTTTTTTTATGTTTGCAAATATGGACGTCATTGTTTACTTAATACTCGATGAATATGTAGCTAGTAGTATAAGGAGATCCATTGATGTGGCCGCTGAACCTTGCGATAATTTTTACGAATTCGCGTGTGGAAAATACTACCGCCGAATGGACTTTGATAAATACGACAATTGGTTTATGGATAAAACAACGAAAATTTCTGAGGAAATTACAGGTGACTTTAATAATTATAATTATAGTATAAACGTGACATATAATAATATTATGTTTAGGATAATTTTATTGTAACGGTTATGCTACAGGACAACAACATATAAGATGGCGTATAATAAAATATAATAATCATACCACGGTTAGAATCTAAATTATAGATAAGCAGAGTTAACAATCACGATCGCACCATAAAACATTTTTCCTTTCTTATTTTCATATTTTTATAGAAATAAATTACAAAAAATGTATATACTAAAAATGCCTATAGACGTTTAGTATTAATATTTTACAAGCTCATAAGTCACAACTTACTTTCAAATTAAAATATCGTAAAAATCTAGCAAGAATATACATAAGTTTTTACTTTTTTAATGAAAACATATATTTTTAATTTTACATTTCAAAGTAAAATATTATTTAGAGTATTCTGATTTAAAAAATCAAATTCCAGCCAAGTAGTTTATTAGTTATACGTATTTAAAGTTTAGAGTCTAAACTTTAGATAGTGGACCAATATTTTAAACTTTTGTACCACTTCACTTCGCTTACCAAAGTTTTAAATTTTTATAACTCATAAGTCACTTATCCAAAATTTAATGTTTTTATAGATGGAAGTTTTCGAAAAAATATTTTATTTTAATTAAAAATGTATGTTGTTATAAAAAGTTAATTTTTTGAAATAATGACTGTTTTACGTTGAATGAATCATTCGGTGTGTCTTATATTTGAAATATAACTTATTTAAGTATTATTATGTATTGAAAACTATTAGGATAAAACCACGATATTCATTAATCTCATATTATATAATTTCCAAAACTTCGTAAAAATATATTTCATACATATTATTTAAATGAATAAAATATTCAACGCTATAATATTATAATTTTTCTCTAAAATTAATTATTTATTTTGTTTTGTAAATCGTCAGTTTAGTTTCAAATACTTTTACATTTAGCTTAAATGATAAGTAATTTTTTCATCTTGCGATTGAAAATTAAACACTTTTGATTCATTTAAATTTCTATCGTATTTTACAAAAGCAAAGTTCACTTTGTGACTTCCTGTGGATACATAGTTTTAAATATAGGATCAATTAAAGTACACGGTTTTTATGGTATGTCAATTTTTCCGGTAAATTGATTATATTTTATATCTCAAAGAAACAGGTCCATCAATATCTTTAGTGTTCTGACCGTATTTTTTAAATAGTTTAAAATTCAAAAATATTTTTATTTTTATTTTTTGTTAATATTGAATCAACCGTGACAAATATATATAGCCGAGCACATAATCATTGTTAATTTAAAGTCCATACGATTTTTTTGATCATTATGTTTGTGCCATAGTTTAATATAAATTGAAAACAAGTTTGCATTAAATTTATTTAAATTTGATAATTCAATCATATACTACGATATAATTAAACAAATTATTTTGATTTGAACCGTCAATAAAAATTACAGTAATTAAACTAGGTCGTAAATACGATTTCTTTATAGCATAAACAATTATTATACATCATAACTAATACAATTTCGTACGATATAAAATTATATCTATCATCAACTTGTTAAAACTGTTTCCAAATTTGTATATTGTTACACGTTTATTATTATTGTTATTTTTAATCTAATTTGTATATAGGCATCAATTTTATTCCTAGAGTCAGCTTGTAAATCATAAATAAATATTTTTTTCTTCAGAAATAACCTTTTATATGCCATAACTATAATTAACATCATCGTTAATCATTGTGTTAATTATTATTTATTACATTTTCCCAGCCATTATTGTTTTTATCGTTTATCACCATGTCTATTAAGCAGATAATGATATGCAATTCTATAAACAACCTCTTTTGTTTCAGATATTTTAGAAAAAAAGGATAATAAAGGCGATTTGCAGTCCGTAAAACAAGGGAGACGTTTATATAAGGCGTGTTTGAATACAGGTAAGAGACATATATTTTATTATATAACACACAGGGAAACGGGTAGGAGTGCAGAAATCATACCCTTTTTACGTTGATAAGTGTGTAATACGGCGGTGTCTAAAACGTTTGGAGGGTAACATCGATTTATTTGACTCATAATATTCATGATTAAGTATAATGCTGTGCATTAAAGCATATACTATAAATTAATATAAAAGGCGCCACCTCTGCCACCGATTTCGGATCGTGTTCTTTTTATTTTCGGATTTATTGCAACTATTTAATTTAGTTCATTCTAAAGTAGTGACGGTATCTAATCCACCCAAAATACGTCGACAATAATAAAAACTGACTCATCAAAATAAACAACAAAATAGTTTTTATGCAGCAAGATACGTAATAAATAATAACACATTCAATATACATGCACAGTCTTACACGGCCGTCGTTTACAAAATAAGAACACAAAACGAGAAATATTTTTCAAAGGCGCATTTTTAAATACGTACCGAGTAGTGAGAAAGGGTGTATGACGACGCAACAGTTGGACATGAATTGTTGAGAGGCTGTTATTATAATATATGACTCGTTTATGATGATAATATATAAAATATACCTAATGCTTATTTTCGCGGAAGAAATATCAACTTTTTCAATAGCGTGCGTTACGTCTCTTTTTAATGCGCCGTAATATATAAAATATTCAATATTATATGAAAATAAATACGTGGCCTACAATAACAACTAATTTTATAATCATAATGATTAATAAGGCCCGAAAATTGTAGGAGTTTCATATTGTTTTATATGCTGTTAATCTGTGGTTGATTAAGTTAGAAGCCCGGACTATGCGATATTAAAATTTAAAATCAAAAGTTTAAAATGCACATTACACATATTTCGTCAATTTTAGGGAAAAATTTCACATTTCATTGATTTTTATATGCATATTAAGCATATTCAACACTTTTTAAAGCAATGGATTTTTTTTCTTAACCAATGTATCTTAAAATATATAATTGAATATAAAACCTAATATTGTTTTATGTAAGTATTTATTGTCATTCGTTAAAATTGGCTTATAAAAAATATAAAATAGATGTAATATTAGATTTAGTGTTTATTATAATTGAAGCTATAAATATTGATAGATTAATATTAATTACTATAATACTCAAGTCATGATTCCTATCATAATATATACTATTATCCTTAGTATATGAAGTTAAATAACTCAAAAACTATTCGTTTGAATTTTGATTTTGCTCCTTCAAAATTTTTATAAAAGCTATTCACTTAAAATTTAGCAGTAGAAAAGGGGGGTTTCATTGACAAACAAGTTTGTTTTCAAGACATTCAAAATCAAAATATTAAACATAATCTACAAACAACTTCTAAATAATATTATTATCTATAATATGATAATCGTTAAATTAATTAAAATATTAAAAATAATAGACAAGTAAATAGAATATCTAGAACGTAAAATTTGCCATCTCATATTTTAGAAGGATGATATCACACCTGCAAGGTATTTAAAAATGGTATGTCGACACTTGGGCGTGGAAAATTGGGTGCGGGACTTTTAGGTGCAACAACAATTGGGAGCGAATATCAATATTTTTTAACATTAATGTAAAACGTATACTAATAATAGATGAAATAAATTCTAGATTTTATTGTAATATCTATACCTATACAATACGAGTACACGTTGACGTATAGATTACTTTGTCATACAATAAAAAATCGATAATCCAGCAAATTAATATTAAGAATGATCCGCTAATATCCGAATAATTGAAATATAAAATATAAAATTATTGTTTTTAAAAAGTATTTTAATAATAACTTTCATTATAATATATAGAACAGCCATGAACCAGAATAAAATATCTTTTTTTAAATCTTAGTCCGTTTAGAACTTTTTTCAAATTATATACGTAATTACATTATAAATAATAATAATAATAATAATAATAATATGTTTTAGATATAGCAATAAAATCTAGAATTTATTTACATTTATTATTAGTATACGTTTTACATTAATTTAAAAAAAATATTGATATTCGCTTCCAATTGTCTAGCATCCAAGCGTCGTACATTCCTTAAAATTATCTTACCGCCTATTTATTGAAGTACCTAAATATATATTTTATAGTAAGCAATTTAAAACTATAGTATAATTTACAAAGATTGATGAATTGGATCTTAAGTTTTTTTCTCTTTTCCTTTTTCCTGAAAATAAGTTTAGGGGCATTATTAACTTTTAGATAAAACAGGAGAGAGTAAAATTATGTAAAGTAAAAAGAATCAGTACTCGTCTGGCAAGTCACGATTCTTTTTTGCGTTCTTCTCCCATTGTTGGGAGAAACACTGCGCCGCTATCGGTCAACGAGGATTGTCAGTTGTAGGGGAAAATTTATAAAACGGTTGATGGTCAAGTACTCGTAGTTTAAAAACAGTAGTATTTTGGTTGATTTTACTTAATAAAATAAATTGTGTGTTTGGTTGTACCTGTAGATAAACTAAACACTTTGCAATATGATACGGTGTTCAAGTTCCTGAATAAGGTTGGAATTCCGAAAAATATACCTGGTTTAATGATCAGTTACTACAACGAGCCTAAGTTCAACGTGGCAAAGTCCTTGGCGCTAATCCAGCGGTACCTTGGAATGGATATTATAATGCAGATAATCATGGATGTGAACCCAAAAACCAACCTATCAGTTATATCTGTAAATATTAACACAAAGTATTATAATCATATAACTTATATTAGTTTATGTATTATTATTATGTTTCATACGTTATAAAACATATAATATAATAATACATTAAATGAAATGTACGCTGTTTTTTACATAAAAACTTTTTGGCGTCAAGGCCTTAAAATAATAAAAAAAATTTGACGGCACATACTCCTTATTTTATTTACATTTTACAGTTTAATTTAATTTATTTAAGTTTGTTTATTATCTATATTAATTTAACGTGGTATAAATCATCAAAGCTAGGTTATTAACTAATATGTTACATTATGTGATATTCCAAATTTTTATACCATTTATAAATTTTAATCGCGGGCCGCATAAAATCGCTACCCGGGCCGCAGGTTACTGACCCCTGCTTTAGTATAACGTATCATGGACAGTAAAATGTACTGTCCATTCTACTGTCCTCTCAATTTATAGAGTAAATACTCAATATGAGGCCAATACACGATTTTTATTTTATCTCTAACCCTTTTGCAATTTCAACAAAACACATTCACTCAAAATATAATAATTTATGCATGGGCGTTTAAGAATAAAATAAAGTGTACCTAACAAATATTTTAAACATTAAAATTTTTTGAATTTCGATACATAATTTTGTCTATAAAATTGAATTTTTAATTTAAATTATTTATGAAGTGCTATTACTGAATATATTTTTCACTCAAGCCAACCATGACCTATTATATATTCATCTATTGTGCTTATTATAAATGTATTTTATACAGATTGTACAAATAAAATAAATATGACAAAAAAATAAAAATATATATTAAGTTAAATAATAATAATTAAAATACTAAACCAATGTATAAATACAAAAATATTAAAAGGTATCATTTTGTTTATTAGATATTGCCAGATTTTCAATTTGATATATTTTATGTATAATGAATGTCTATGTAACCGGCATAAGATCATTAAAATACCATATAAAATAATTTTAATAAAATGTTTATCTAATGTTTATGTTATACAAGTGTCAAACAGGGAAATAAAACATTACCTTAGTGTTGTGACTTGATATTACATTTCGGCCTTTGGTTGATTATTTTTATTATCAATATCTAATAATATCGATACCACAAGTTGGCTTAATGTATTAAGATTTGATATCGATATCACGGAATAAAAATAATCAGTTAAATATTATAAAAAAAATTATACTTTTTTTATTTGTTATTATTGGATCTAATTATATAAATTAGCATTAAAATTAATAATCTCTCTAGTCTAGTCTCTTAATTTATGTTCACGGGTTTGTTTGTTCATTTTTTTTTTCACGACTTCGTAGTCCTATTATAATATTCTGGGATAATTTTAAAACTGTGATAGTTAGCCCACATAAGTCACGCATTTATTGCTATAACTATAAAACTCGTAGGTAATGTTGCAAGAGTTGCTTGTTTTTTTTTTTTTACATGCTTCAAGTTTTTAATAAAACCAAACTAAAAATCCATTTTAAATAATGACGAATTCAAAAATCAAAATGTAAAATGTACATTATGTGATTATGCATACTTACCTATTTTATGGATTTAATAAAAATGCATATTATATTTTATTTTTTTATTTGCCTATTTTAGCGTAAATCCTTACATTTATTGAAAATATATTTTATTAATACATACTATTTAAATAAATACCAATAGTATTTTTTCAGAAGAATAATATCATCGATTGGAAAACAGTTTTCCACGTATCGTATTATATTTCTATTAGCTTTTCAATTTATTTAATGAAATAATGTTTAATATACTAGCGTTAGAAGAATATTAATGGCTAATAAACAATTGGTTAATAGTTAATAGGTACATATAATTTTTTTTGCTATTAAATTAAAATTTTTTTTTTTGAAAAAAAGGCTATTTATTTTGATTATTTTTTAAAATTTTGATGTTATTGTTTGGTTTTACCAGCAACTTTTTGTCCACAGGTAGGGCCCGTGTCGAGTTATGTATCGACATTGCCAGAACCGCTGTACGACTTCCATCGTCCTACCAAAATTGGTCGTAAGCAACCATTTGACATTCACGAAATCTCAAAAGATGACGGTTTCAACAAAAGATTAGCGATTGCTAAAGTCCAATACATGATTAAGATCATCTTGTATTTGTTTCCCGAAGAAGATTTCAACAACGATTTGATGGCCGAATTTTGTTTAAATATCTTCTCTTTTGAATTGGATTTATTAAAGGTATAATTTTAATAAATTTTTCAAAGTAGAATAATCCATTATCGAGAATGATCCATTAAACATCTTAAAATAATATTTTTTCAGTCATTTTTTTCATAGTTTGATGTATTTGGGGTGTCGTTATTTTCTACCAAAATCGATAGTTTTATTCACCGTCAATATAATAATATATATATTTCAATTTTCTATCAAAATAACTTTGGTTTTTAGATTTTTTTAACTCTTTATTGTAAAAATTGATATATTTTAATATTATAGTATAATATGTAATATGAGTATAATATTATTGTACTAAATGGTTATAGGCTACATAGATATAATATTTTCTCAGTCGGTAATTTTTTTCTAACAATAGAAAAACAAAAGTAATCCATCACTCATAAGTTTAGCTTTGTTTATAATTCTTAACAATTTATTATAACTCTAAGTTGTGGAATTATAATTTCAGTAGGCTTAAATATTTTGGTCACTACTATTTTCTACGTGATATGTATATTTTATACGAAAATAAATAATAACTAAATGCCATCGTGTTTTTCTTGATGAGAATTCATTGCTTTAAATAAGACTATCGACTAACTACTTAATGTGTAATAGTTAAATAATATATACTGGAACATTTCATTATTATATAAAAAAAAAAAATAAATAAATAATAAAATAAAATAAATTACAATTATATTTGAAAAAAAAAATGTTTGATATTGATTAAAATAAAATTTTTTGTTACAAAGTTTATTACATTTGTCAGTTATTTCTATTAAATTTTAAAATATTCTATTCTATAATACATTTATTTTACAGAAAGACGTAGACTACGAAAAAAAAGGAGAAGAATTCACAACATATGGCCTAAGGAATTACATGTATTCGGGTGTGCCAGACCCATCAATTGAAACTTTGGTACTATATAATTTTACAAATTTTGAGCGAAGTGTAATATTACTGTCATAGTGGTTTTAATTTTTTGTTTTAAAATCTACAACGACTTCAATTTTTAAGGATATAATTTAGTCCTTTACAATAAAATGATAATTTTAAAATCATAAAATCGATTACAAAATTGATTGTAAACTATTTTATTTTGTCTAAACCAAAAAAAGTTAAAAAGTCAAATATATATTATTTTTTTTATGGACTTTGAATGTTGAAAAGACAATATTATAGAGTTGGAAATGTATGTCGAGCACTCTTTTTTCATTTTTAAAATACAATATGATCACGTTTTGTTATAAAGCTTATAATAGTTTTAAATAATATAATCTTTTATTGAGTCTTACACAGATGTTGATGAATGATAAGTACCATTAACTTTTCATGGTTTTTAAGCATGTGACTAAATTTTATTTACATTTCTTCCATTTGATATAGTTTGACTGGCAAACGTATATTAGTTATATTACCACGGGAACAAATGTCAAATGGTCGATGAGTGATATAATATTAGTCCGAAATCCGGAATATTTTTTGGAACTCCGAGAGAAGTTATTAAACGCTTCTGAAGAAAAAATTCGTAAGTACACTTATATTTTTTAGAGGAAATGTATTATTTTAAGTTGCAATACCTATATCTTGAAAAAAAAAAAAATAACAAAAATTTTTAATTTAATGTTACTTTACAAACAATTTACTTATTATAATAGGGACATAGTTCGATATGAAATCGTTGAAAATAAAGGCATTTATTTTGTCATATTAGTTTGGTCTATAAAATATATAAGACATATAAATAGGTTATAAATATGTTTTTAATGAAAAAAAAAAAAAAAAATCACGAACCCCAATACGAACCGAGTAGTATTTTTAGTTTTTGCCTTACTTAAAAATTCACATTAAATTCAATGAATACAAAAAATAAATAATATCTTTAAGAACCATTAGCGTTTTAATTGTTCTACTTTTAACCACTGAAAAAAGTAAATAATTGTAAAACTAGGTTCATGAAATTTTCATACGAATCTGCACAATTGAAGTATACAATTGAGCATAAATGTGTGTCCGATTTACTGTTGACCGGTTGAAATGAGAGAAAGCCGCGCATCACGTTCCGATTGCTAATATAGACACACCTATTGTTAATATGAAAGAAATAATTTTATAAATTAATAAAAATAATATGTTAACAATATCATATAATTTTATACTTTTTACGAATAATGAAAACATTGAAAATAGAAACTAATCGATTTATATAATATTATAATATTATATACGTAATATTAAAATATTATAAACATTACCATTGATTATTGTGATATATATACTTATAAGTTTTTTTATAATTCACAAAGATTTCTATGTTTAATAGTTAATACTAATATTGTTAGGTATTTATCGATTTTTTCAATTATATTTTAGAATAGCGATTCCCAATTATTTGAGAGTTATTACTCTCCAAAAAGTAAAATGGGCTTTTCTGAGGGATTAAGAAAAATATTATTTTTTTTCAATTACCTAGTTTATAAAAAAAAAAAAACTTTTTATTTTAATTATTATTTATTATTTTGTTTTTTAAATTTAACTAACTGTGAGGGGTTTGTTTACTAATATCTAACCAAATTTGTGTGTACTAGTCTCAAAGAGATTGGGAACCGCTGTTTTAGAAAATATAAATAAGTGCATGAAAATTGTATATTATATTCTTATAAGTTATATGTATATAAAACACAGTGGATAAATAAATAAACAATTTACTCATAAAGTTATATAAAGTGCATACTTTTGTCAAGAACATTTATTCACTAAGAATAGTATTGTTATTTTTGTTGTACACTTACAAAACGATTTCTTTTCCAATGAGATATGTTAAAGAGACATGCCAATTATTATATTCATAATCTATATGAATATTTATATTTTGTTACTTAAGTCTTATTTAACCAAATTTTTTTTTTTTTGCACTTATTATCTTGTTACGTTTGCTTTTCACAATATAGGTATGTAGTATAATATGTTATGTTTTAAAAATGTTTAAGCGATCGTAATAAATTACGAGAATATACGATACCTAATGAGTACCTACCTGTAATAATGTTTTGTTACAAAATATCAGTAAATTCACACAAATAGTGCCATGACTGAACTAGTTTTGGCTTTTTTATTAAAAAAAAAAAAAAAAATAATCAATAGACCCTATCAGGGATATAATTATATTTCACAGGAATGATTTTACATAGATGGATATCGAAATAGTCTCTCTATCCTACAGTAGTATTTTATACCCCTCATATAAAAAAATATAAAACAAAATACCTTTAATTTCAGGTTATAGAGTATATTATTAATTTTATGTCCTGAACTGGAAGTTTCTTTATTTATTTCAAAAAGTAATTGTAACTTGCAAGTAATTATTTATGATAGAAAAACTAAACAATATTATCTTGTGTTTGTAAATGCTCAACAAAGAAATTTCAAATAAATATTACGGAAAAGGTCACTCCGTTAATTTTCACCTCGCAAAATAATACGTTGCAAGGGAAATCAAAAAAAAGTTTGCATATTTTTCACCACATATTTTTATTTTTAATCCCCAGACAAGAAATATAAATGTCAAAAAAACAATATTTTAAATGCATTGTATTTTACACAATTATTTACCAATATCTAAAAATAAAAACGATCAGTTAGAAATTAAATGTTAATACAATTAATTATTTTGAAATTTAAAAGCATATTTTACAATTTAATATTACAAAATTATATTTTAATATCTTTTTTGTTTAATTTGTTTTCAAAGTTCTCATAAAGATAAATTATTTAATCAACTTCTAATTAAAAATATAATATGATATAAAATTAAATTATACATTATTACTACTTCAAAAAATCAATTTTTCGACGATTTCATTAGTGAAATTGTTAATTATAACATTTCTATCAAACTAAATTAAATATAGTGGTACTACTAATTGGCTTTTTCCCCAACTTCCTACTTACCTATGTCAATTTTTTTAATATTGTAAATATCTAGTAAGCTTATTGTAATAATTGTGTAAGGATTGTACATTTTCTTAAAATGAAAAAAAATATTAAATTTAATTGACAAAACCCAGAATTCTTATTGAAATATATGTGAAAATTAAGTCCGTAATAAATTATTTTAAATAATAATAACAATTTATTTTATATTATTATTATTATATTTGTTTTTAACTATTTTAGAACAATTGCTTTGGTGGAAAGTTGTGGAAGCTTTAGTTACTCACACTACTACCCAGATGGTAGAATTAAAAGAAGAATTTATGCAAACCATATTACCGTCAGCTAAAAGATCGACCCGGTACTTAATACACATAGTTTTCCGAAATATTTAAATAGCTGCTATACACTTTCTCACCCATATCGTTTTTTTTAAGAAAGGAATTTTGTACGTCAGTAGTCAAATCCACCCTAAAATTACCTCTAGCTTACGAGTTCTACGTCCGCCATGACCTGAAAGAAACTACTGAGGAGGTAATTATAGTATAATTAGGTATTATATGTAAATATAGACCGGAGGAACGCAACGGATAGTAATGTTTTTTATTTCTCATACAAGATCTTTGAGATGATTAAACAACTGCAAGACGTATTTAAAGACATGATCAGTGAGTCCGAATGGATGGATGAAGACACTAAAAGTAGGATTTTATTCAAGTTGGATTCCATAAGAATTGGAGTCGGTTATCCGGAAATATTCCAGACGCCAGAACTCGTGGATAAAAAATACGACTACGTAAGAATATTGTAAATAATATATGATATTATAATATTTATATCTAAGTCAATTAAAATATGCTTATTAGGAACACAATGATATATACACCTTAAATATATAATATGCATGCATTTACGATCTAAAAAGCGCCCTTTAATATACGCTAAAAAATATGCATTTGTATTTAATTTTATTTGAAGAAACTGAATACAAGTGTAAGAATATAATTGTTGACATTGTGTCCAAGAGCAATTATCATAAATGAAATTCACTGCACTATGTTATTAATATGTCGACAAAAAAATTTTACTGACGAAAAATACGAATCAAAACGTAATGAGTTTATATTAATAAGCAATATGTGCATAAATAGTTTAAATAGAAATACTGAAATACTGTTATGTATGTATAATAAACGTATAATGTAATCATTGTAATCTATACGAGAAAAAATTTTATCAAAAAGAAATACCGTTGAATTGATATTTGCTATATGCTTTATAATTCACAATTCTTACGGGACAACATTCTTATACAAACGAGTTATGATTTATTAAGTTTGATAACACTTCTCTTACTCCCTCATCCCCTACTCCTATCTCAAAATCGTCCTTCACAATGTTTATATCTTTAATCGTTGTACTCAGTTAATTATATTTATTGAAATTTTTGCTCAAAAAAATCTAAGCGTTGATGAATTTACAACCGCATACAGTGGACGTAGTTGGATGTATATAAATCACTTTCTACCATGAACGAACAGGTAGTGAAAACTGTATAAAATAAAATAATGCACATCTAAGTGATCATTAATCCATTGATATCTATTTTAAACAATGTTATTTTACACAGTGGCATGATTTTATTGTTGTGGCAAGTGGAGCACTTTCTTCCCCCTGAATTTTTTATCGAGTAGAATCGAGGTATAATTTTGATCCCATTTCACCTAAATATTTCAAAAGTAGAAATCTTAGTATATTTAGCACACATTTGTAAGATACAAATATTTTTTTCCATAAGTGTATACATGTATTGCACGTTTCTACAGTTGTATATTAATATGTTGAAGTATTTTTAACGTTATCACATTATTTGGGTTACCCACTAATATTATGATTATAGGGGGGTTTTTTTTTTAAATAAGTCAGAAAAACTTTTTTTTTAGTTTTGAATTCTTAATAATAATATGTATTTAAACCCAACCCATCCTAGTTTTTTATCCAATTTTTCACTAGTTATACATGTACTAAAATCCAAAAGTTTATTGCTATTACTATTTATAATCGAAAATGCAATGTGTCAGTTCTTCATGCAGCACTATGGAAAAGCATCCTACAAAGTTGGTTTAGTTAAAAATAAAACGAAATAAAAATTAATAAAAATAATACATTTTTATAATTAAAACGTAAATTGGGTTTAAGTGAAATTTTAGTGGTGATATACTATAAAGTTATTGAAAATCATTTTTATAAACGTTTGAGAAAAACATTTAAGTTATTATCATGAATCAAAATATGATGTGCACAAATAAAAATTAAAACAAAAAATTTTGTCATGAAATGGATTTAAATATTTAAAAGAGGAAAATCATTTGACCCAACTTATTAGATGGGAATGATGGGATAGGTACTTTAAAATACATTGACCACAATTTAAAACGTTCTCTCTTCGCTAGGCATAACTTACGTTTTCTCATCACATAGTCATCGCTGTCCGTATTAAGATTAAAAACGTAGTCATATTCATTACAATTTTCAATATTTGGTAATTAGGTCAAAACTCTAGAAAACGAGTACCTTCAAAGCCTTTTAAACATCAGAGAAACAGAAATCAATTTGCTTCTGTCAGAGTTGGGCAAACCAGTCAAGTTTTCTTTGAGTAAGCAGTAAGTGCACATAACATATTTTATTATATTCGATAAAAATGTATGTCTTAACATTTTCTCTCGATCAATGTTGTTGCAGATTCATAATGGACCCATTGGAAGTTAACGCGTTTTACACTAGACTGGACAATTCAATTAGTGAGAATATTACCTAACCCACATACTACATAGTATAGTTTTTTTATTACTTGTTGTTTAAATATATGATAAATTTTTATTCCATGTTCGTCGTCACGCAGACATTCCAGCTGGGATTTTACAGTTACCATTTTACAACAAAGGAGTCGAGTAAGTCACACGTCTGACAGAAAATATAAATTTTTAAAACTGAAATTATTATTATTATATATATAATTATAATTAACTTACCATTTTTCCGTATGATTTGCGTTATACTATCAATAACTATACTACCCGTTTCTACAGCGTCGTAAATTACGGCGCCATCGGTGCGATCATCGGACACGAAATCACGCACGGATTCGACATCGAAGGTAAGTGTACATGTAAAAATTGCCGTAGTTCCAATAGTTCCATTTTAACTTTTAACAGATAACGACAGATTATCTATGACAAAATTCACTGAAGGCTGGATTTGTATTAGAATACAAATTACTTAGAATATTGAGTAATATTGGTATTTGATAAAGATAAAAACATTCAAAAATATTACTCACGCCCGTTTATTGTAAACTATTATGGACTTAATTTTAATCCTATTTGTGACTCAACTTGAAACAACACAAAATCCATTGAGTATGTTGTTAAACAATTTTTTTTTTTTTAAACTTTTATCATAAATCTTAATAATATCAAATGCCATTTATACATAATTAATAGATCAGTAGTTGAATTAATAAATAGAAATTTTTCGTTAAAGGGATCTTCAATATTTGTTATGGGCACCCCAATCTTCCGATAGTTAGTTTTGGCACTGTGTATATAGTGCTGTTACTACAATAATTTATATATTATAATATTATAACATTATGTCATCGCGGTTTAGGTAAGAATTACGATTCCTATGGCCAAAAGATATCGCAATGGTCATCAAACGCGGAGCGTGAGTATTTGCGTCGGGCGATGTGTTTCGTCGATCAATACAATCAGTTCGAATTAACCCCAAGTACTAGAGTGAGCATTATATTATTATTATATTTTTATATATGAATAAAATTTAAATTAAAAAAAAAAAAAAAAACAATCTTTAGTTAATAAAGATTCAACCCCATCCAATTTTTAGTAAGTACAATAAAAGAAACGCTATCAGTTGTAGTGATGAAACATTCATTCAACTGAAATATTAACAAGACAATGAACTTAGTGCAAAAGACAAGAATAATATTATAGTTTTTATGTTCGTATTTTTTATAATATTTATATATTATGGCCACTACAATTATTTAGTACTTATATATTACTACCTACCTGTTTCACACGACATCGCCCGTGAAAAGAACTGCAAGTCAAATTCCTTTAAATTTTCATTTTTGTTATTGAACATAATATGCATTGAATGAAAAAAAAAATTATATTGCTTGATAACAATAAGAAAATTGATGCTTATTACTAATTTCTATTTTTCGATAGATTTAATCTATGAAGCGAAAAAGTTAGTGTTAGTGTATTAAAATTTTGAAGTATAACTATGTATAGAGCAAATGATACAAATTATGTCAGTATTTTTATAATAATTGAAAGATTTAATAAATGTCTTTATAAACGACATTTTTGACTTCTTCGTGATTTGGGGGAATTTTAGCATTAATTCGGATGTCACGCGAGAAACAGCTATGTACACTTAACCGTGTGAAAAGCATTAAACGCTTAGGTCAATTCCAGCGAAATTAAATGTTTATCCCTATGCTTTATTGTTAGTCATTCCAAATTCTAATTTAATTAGGAATTGAATACGTTTAAATTGAAAAGATAAATCTGAGAATCAATTGATATTCGTAATATTAAAAGAGTTTCTCCAGTACCACATTCCGTTAATATTATGCACTCGATCGATAAACTTTTCAGTTTTTTGATATGTAGTCTTGTAAAAATTACACTGTTGCAAAATCTGAGTAGTCTTAAATTTCTTTTTAAAATAATAAGTGCCCCTAGTTTTGAAATCAGTTTATGAGGTTAAACTTCAAAAGGCGTTAAATAGTTAAGAAATTCAGTAGGAAAATGGACTGCATCCTCTTTTTCTTAAGCTGCACAAATGATTAGTGAACTTAAAAATCATTTAATTTTTCATCTTTCTCGTTATTTGGTGACAAAATATTCCTTTTTAAAACTATTTCAGTGATTTAGAAGCTATGGTTGAATGTCTAGGTCTACATTTCGAATCAATTTTAATATAGTGGGTATTAAAATACAGGTACTTTTAATATTTATTTTACCATTTGTGACTTGAAATTATTGAAATAATCAGTAAAATGCGGAGAAAAATGTAAAAACAATGTAGAAAATTGGTAACTGACACCATGGTTGGAACTCAGGATATTCTACTAAATCATATTAAAGTGTTACTGCGCAAGAAGGTTTTCAATATGTAACTGTAATTTCATAGCTCTTTAAATAGTGATATACCCTACGTCCTGAAACACAAATTTGATTTTGTCATATAAATTTGAACAATCAATTTTATTTTTTATAACAAATTATAAGTATATAATTGTATTGGTTAATTTTATATCCAACAGTGAACACCGCATCAAAATTCATTCTACCTTTTCGGAGTTCATCTCGAATAAAAAAAAAGTGATTTTGTTATATACTATGTGTTAATACTGTTGAGAATTTATTTTGCTATATTTACATAAAAAATATTTATTACAATTACTTAATATGTTTTACGGTGAGGAGTGCTATCACTTCCACGATCTACTTTGTAACCACATCTGATCATGATAGTTACCATTACCGTGGTATAAAATATTGTAATGTGGATTGTTTTGAGTGACTGTGTTTCACATTTTTTTTTTCAGTTAAACGGCACTCTCACTCTTGGAGAAAATATGGCCGACAATGTGGGACTGAAACAGTCGTGGAAGGCGTACAAATTGAATAAAATCGGTGAAGGCGTTCATCTGCCGGGGCTCGCTGAATACTCTAACGACCAACTGTTCTTCTTGTCCTACGCAAACGTGAGTGACTTGGAAAAGGGCTTGTGCGAGATCCGATCGGATTAGCCATAGTTTATAACGGTTTTCATACAGTACTCCATTATTTGGTTATATTATATTGCATCATTTTCTTCTTGATATACATTTTATAAGTTGACAGATTAGTTGAAGAAAAGATAATGGTAAATAATATAGTTATAATTCGCATTACTTAGTGTTGATTTATGATTATATTATGACGAAATCGTGGGTGGAGTGACGATTATTATGATATAAAACTCTATTTTATTACATTTTCTTTAATATTGAATTAATGACTTCGAATTTTTCGGCGTTATTATTTACAACTTCAATAGTCTTAGTATAGTGTTTAATAAATGCCTATCGAATATCTCGCTTTCGCTACTCTATTTGAAAAAAAAATCATAAGACAATCATTTTTAACTTTCAATTATCAATATCAACAATTTTTTGAGCTTTGATTGAAACGTCATACACGATACGCGATTCTAGACAAGCATACCAAGACAACCAAAATTTTGTCGATTTCAATACTATAATATTATTATAATCATGAAAACACGGTGTTTTGGATAAACTAATTAACTACATCTGGGTGGTGAATGAAAACATTTATCACATACCTATCGTAATTATAATATTAACAGTCATTATATCTGTGATGAAATGGTAAAACGTGTCATACCGTTTAGTATTTAAAACATAATATTATCTTAACTCGTTAGACGAACAAATAATTAATATATTATGAGTTGTACAGGTGTGGTGCCGAAAGCCATTCGATGAAAACGAAGAACAAATTCAGGATTTCATCGCCGATGACCACAGTCCCAACACCGCCCGGGTGATAGGTTCGTTAAGAAATAGCCCTGAGTTCGCAGAAGCTTGGAAATGTCCTGCTGGAAGTCGTATGAACCCTTCCAAGAAATGCTCCATGTGGTGAATACTCCAAATAACGCCATTGACACCCGCTGTCCGAGCCTTTGACGATTATTATTACTATTGTTTTTATTTTAATTTTCCATGCGCTTTGTGTAATATAATATGATAATTAAGTTTTCATTTTGTACAATGAAAGTGATAAATATACATATATTATGTCTATTGTATGTTTGTGTAACGTTCGCGTTTGTAATATACTGAAAATTATTTAAATGTTTCCTTTTTCACAACCTTAGTCGTATAATATTTTGGCACACGTGCAACTCGTATAAGTACTTCATAAAGAATTTCACCTTTGACGAAATGATTTTTTTTAATGTGTACAATTATGTCAAAGTTCAAGATCTATAACGAGATTATAGTTCAAAAAAAAAATATTGTATGATAGATTTTTAATTGAACTATTATGTCGTTGTGGATCTAATGAAGTAGGTATAAATATTTTTGAGTGAAAAAACGAAAAATACCTATTTTATTTTATTGCGCATATACGATATTATGTAGAAATTTATATAATATAAAGTACTTTCTAAAATGTATGCTGTTTTTCGGTTAGTGTGAAAAATTGGTGTTTTTAAGTGCCAATCGCTTATTTTAACAGTATTGAAAATAAATAATTTAATTCATGTACAGTGGAACCTCGATAACTCGAACTTCTATAAGTCGAATTTTCGATAACTCGAATTTTTTTTTGCCCCCAACCGATTCGAGTTATCGAGGTTCCACTGTATTATAATAATTTTTCCTATTCAAACATATGTGTAATTAATATGTATACCTAATTAAATTTAAATAAAGATATATAATTTTTAAATGAATAAAAAATAAAAAAATTTTATTTGAAGTGCTCCCTGGGAAGATAAATAATTTTGTTTACGTATTCATTGTATAATGATGAAAGTAAGACAAAACACCTCGTGTGCAACGTAAGGTAAAATAGTTCCTAATTGACAGTAAGTTATTTGATATGTTTACAGCAGAAAACATTTCTCAGTGACGTTTGATTCGCTTATGTTGATCATCTGCGTGAATATTGTTATCAACTAATTATGACTTATATTTGTAAGTTTTGTATTTTTAAACACTTATTTTTTTTAATAGTTTCAACGTTCTTAGAAATATTTCTTTTTTGTAGTATTATGTCACTAATCAGTAAACACGATTAGTTACATAAAATCACCAAAATATTTTTCTTGATAAAAAAACGGATCTCATTGAAATTTTTTTTTAATTGGTATTGAAAGTTAACAAAAGAAAAAAATTGTTTAGATGAATAATAAAATAATCAAGTTGGGTATTGACTGAAAAAATGTATTTGAAAACTCTAATACATATTAGAATGGAATGTTTATACACACATATATATATATATATATATTTATTTATTGAACTTAAGCCCGGCGACTAGGGCCATTAACTGTTGTAGGGATTATGAACTGTGGTAGGAGTAAGATTGGTACGGTAGGTTGTTGTTTTTTTTTTTTTTTATGATTGTTACGGTTGATAGCAAACACGTGTATGTGTGGTAAGATTTTTAATCACTATGTTCACGGGTGGTCACCCATCCGGGAGCTAGTAGCTGTGGTTGTTACTCTCAGTCGCATTCCGCAACTGATAGCAGCCAACACGCCACGCCAAGCCACACACATATTATATTATTATTATTCATAATACAATATTATATTATTACATTCATGCACTTCTAACATTTGGACAATAGGTAATAAAATGATTAAACCGATTTGTAGCACTGACAACATCGCTTTAAAATAAAACGAGGATATTTAATGTTACCCAGTAATTATTTTGACAAATAAAATATTATATAATAATACCAATTGTTTATTTAACACTATGGGACAACCCGAGTTATTCTAACGCATTTAGATAATAGAAATATTTATTTTAATTTTTTTAATTTTAAAATTTTAAAATAACGAAATGGAATGCGAACATGACTTTAAAAAATCTACTTATCTATTACATTTAAGATTTAAAAAATGTTTACATTGTAACAAGATCAAGTTTTGGAAATCAGTTGCAAGATGTAAGAAATGTTTATTAACTTGCCACCGGAAATGTCGTAGAAAGTTTTTGGCACCGCCCAAGGTAAATATAGAAATAAACCAACTGCCTTACATCAGTTTAGTTAACATATTGCAAATATACTTATGACTCATATAATATTTATCATTCTAATAATAATAATATAAGCATAGTTGAATATATTAATATTTACAATAGTTAGAATAATAGATAAAATTGAATAGAGTCTCCCAAATACTTTTGGGTTATCGGAGTTGAGTCCATCCAATATTGTTAGGTTGTTCAAGTCCCTTTAGCCTATTAGTTAATAATTAATTATTTTCAAGTGCAACACACTTACCCGTTTATTAAAACCAAGTGGCTGTCAATATATGTATATATCTAATTTTATCCAGTTAAGGAATAGTTATTTTGCTATTCCCATTACACGAACCGGTCTTAAGGACCGGGTCGTTAAATTGATACAAATAAAGTTTTTCAAGTTATATTATACAGGTCCTAGAAACTTATGACCTGCGTTCATAAACTAACACAATAGATACGATATTATAGCATCGTTTTACAAGATTTATTCATATGACTAAATATTAATATAATAATTATACTGTTCACTATTACCTGAGTAACCCTGTTCTTGAGGGTAGTATTTTGAAGATCACAGGTGTAGCGGAGTACGAGTTGAAGCGATTGAATATATTATGATTTATCTATATTCTATAAGATAGGTTATTTACCTAAAGTATAAATCAAATTAAATATGTTTCTCAGAAATATAGAGATGACTGTTATTGTCTCTATTTCACGAACAAAACTCGACTAATTAGTTATATCAATGATTTGTATGTACTCGTACTCTACGTTCCTGTGTTCTTCTGGCCTAAGCAAAAATCGCCGAGTGCGGCATAAATGACGCGTTAGTAATATATATATCGTTACAGTTACTTTTTTCACCATTTAAGATCTGCCCTCAGATTTATTTTGAAAACAAAAAATTAAAAAATTAAAACTGAAATCAAAGATATGTTAGTAAACACGAGTTACACCTTGGCTATTTCCGACGATGGACATCTATTCCGTTCTTCTAGGCGAATGAAATTGCCTTGTCAGAACATCCCTTTTTTTCTCAGGACATATTACGGTTATATTTTAATTATTTAAATTTAAGTTACTTTGTCAGTGGTCATGTTGTTTATTAAATTTTAATTAATAAAAATGATCAAATTACACGTGTTATATATACATATACATTACACATATATTATTTTTATTTATAGACGTTTATATTTCTAATGAAAAACATTGCTAAAAATTATAATTACGTTTACATTATTTTTTGATTAAATTGATATGCCTTAATTTGTTTCTATAGATTAGATAGGTTAAAAATGTTTTAAGCGATAGTGGCTCTCAGGTTTTCATAACATAATAAATAAATCCAAAGATTTTGATAGTAAAAAAAAATTTTTAGCGTATATTATAATAATAATACAAATAAAACGTTATTAATGTTTAGCCGTTAAAACAGCTATTTCAACAAATGATCCATAACAATATTGCTCTCGTTTTGCTACTCGTTCTGAAATTATCTGTGATTAGTACAGTATAATATTATGTATTTTAAATATTCACATTTTCATCAATCGCCTACGCATATGCTCTATAAAATATATTATTTAACGGCGAAACAAAGACAATATGATTTCTTTATTTGTTATAAAACAATAAATGTTTTGAAATCCTATTCAATTTAAAATATTTCCGCGTGTTAATATACTATATTTTAAACATCGGACAATTTATCATTTACTTTCAGGTACGGAGCTTTCATGTCAACTATAACCTGATTTTGTTTTTCTACTCCTCGATTTGTAGGTCTATAATTTATACCTTCTGTTTTATTAATATATAACGCATTTAACATATCGAAATTTACTTTGGCAGTGAAATGAGTACCATTGTCTGATCTAACTACTTTCATTGCTCCATTAGACAGAATGAAATTAAGTAAAAATACAGTTGTTGTTTTAGCGTCTGCGTTCTACAAGTTTTTTCCACGCAATATTTTGTCCTTCTACAGGTCACTATTAATTTATATATGATTCCTCTCGAATTCATTAAGGGACCAACATAATCAATCGTTACTTTCAAAAAGGGTATTCCATTTTTTACTGGGTACGTACGTATTTTTCCTACTTGGGCTGAATTGTCTGGTTTACGTTTTTGACAACAAATACAAAAAGTAACATGCTATTATTTGTCAATGCATATAAGGCCAACGATATCTTTTCCTAATTTTATTATAAACTTTATGGACTCCAAGTGTGCACCTGACAATTAATTATCATGAACATTTTGAATTACTTCGTTGGTGAGTATTTGAGGAATTGCTAACACTAATTTAAGATTGCCATTAATTTTTTCTTTATAGTAAACTAACCCATTTTTATTGATTTTGCTTTATTTTGCCATTTTATATCGGATACTTCTGAATATTCTAAGATCGTAGTTATATTTTTTAAATAGCTGTCTCTAACTTGAAGCATTTTTAAATTTACTGGTTCAACAATATTTCAACAATATGTATTTGATGTTTATTTAAATTACCTTTTTTATAAATTATTTTAAATTTGAACTTGATTAATTTTGTTCTCGATCTGTTTAAAATTTTCAATTTTGATTAAATTTTTTGTAACTGTATTTAAGTTTTATGATCAGTTCAGACTGTGGTGATTCTACTATGAAGATATTGTTTAAAATTAATGCAACCGAAATGTAACACGGTAATTTCTAATTGTAATACCGAATAATTGTTTTGTGCCGTAATTAATATTTTTGATGCATATAGAACTAGGTGTATTTCATTATTTTCATGTATTTTTTGAAAAATTACGCCTAGATCGTCGATTACTATTTTACTAATATTATTTACAAGTGATGATTAAAATAAGACAAACTTGATTTATTTGTTAGTTTTAATTTAAGATTTTTAAACGCTATTTCTTGTGTTTCCGACCGTGGAATTATTGATTTTTTTATTTGAATTTTTCTTTAATTAATAATTCAGTAAGTGGATGTGCTAATTTACTAAAATTTGGGATAAAACTAAAAATATAATTTGCTTAACCTAAAAAACTTCGAAGTTGTTTTATTGTTGTTGGGGAAGAAAA